CCCTTCACAACCGTTCCGTCCCTTTTCTCTTCTCATCTTCTCTTCCTGTTCCTCTCCTCTTCCCTCTGAAAGGCGCCCCTCCCCCTTGTCCCCAGCTGGATTACATATAATTATAGGATGACAAGGTCTTGACGCCAGAGAGAATGTCCCAGGATGTCTGTCTGAGGATGGGGGTGAAGGGGGAGGGAAAGGATTAAGGTGTAACAGGGGGAAGGTGGAGGGGAAGGGGGTTATAGGGTAAGAGGGGAGGAGTGGGGGGGGGGGTTTAAGGTGTGGTGACCCCTAACGTTGTGGTGTAAGGTGGTTCTTATCACCCTGATCTAGCTTAGCGAGGGAAGGGGGCCCATTGTTAGGTAAGATGACGGGCATTCCTAGCGTTTCTTATACGTGTTTACCGGTTTTCTTCATCCTGCTGTATTTTTATCCTACGTTTGTGCATCGGTTTCTTCATCCTGCTGTATTTTATCCTACGTTTGTGCATCGGTTTTCTTCATCCTGCTGTATTTTATCCTACGTATACATCGGTTTTCGTATGTATTTCCTGATTACACTTCACCCTCTTCTACCTGTTTTTAAACCTCATCCTTTTTTCCGTATTTTTGTAGGATTTTTGTAGGATTTCTTTATATTTAAAAAAAATTATCTGCTTTTCAAGAAATGTTTGTTTACTTAATATAAAAATTTATATTAGTCATTTACCAATTGAATTTGTTAATAGTGCTTTTAGCTACTTGGATCATACCTAGATGGGGTTCTGGGAGTTCTTCTACTCCCTGAGCCCGGCCTGAGCCAGACTCGACTTGTGATAACTTGGTCCAACAGGCTGTTGCTTGGCGCGGCCCGCAGGCCCACATATCACTACAGCTATGTGGTGGGATCCATCTTCCTCGTCTTGGACAGTGAGAACTCTCGCGTCTCGAGCGGTGATCCTATCTAAGATGTTCTCCTCGTCTTTTAATTCCACTCGGGGAGAAGAGCAAAGAGGTCCTAGCCTCTTTGGCCTTCTTTGGCCCTCCAAACTTTGGCCTTCCAAACTTTGGCTTTCCAAACATTGGCCTTCCAAACTTTGGCCTTCCAAACATTGGCCCTCCAAACTTTGGCCCTCCAAACTTTGGCCTTCCAAACTTTGGCCTTCCAAACTTTGGCCTTCCAAACTTTGGCCTTCCAAACTTTGGCCTTCCAAACTTTGGCCTTCCAAACTTTGGCCTTCCAAACTTTGGCCTTCCAAACTTTGGCCCTCCAAACTTTGGCCCTCCAAACTTTGGCCCTCCAATACATAAACACTTGTATTGGTTTCAGTAGGGGCCTTCGGACTTCTTGTGATTTGAGTATAAATCCAGTTGTATGACATTTTTTATAAAAGTCTGCAGTGGTCTAGTGGTATAGTACGCGATTGGCAATGCAGGGGTCGCAGGTTCGTGACCACCTTATAGTCCCAGTGAATTTTCTTATATTCCTTTTCAGTACTCTTGTTATTATTATTATTAACATCTTTATTGACAAAAATTCATTACAATTTTGCCTAATCTGAGGATTCAATTTAAGTCTTATTAAAGTGAGGATAATGCTGGTATTCACTGTCACGCAGGACACAGGGTCAAACACGAGACAATAGGTCTAAACTGTAGGCTGAAGTACACATATATCATGGTTACAATATATGTTTTAATGTACGAATATGTAAATACAAGTTTCTATTGAGCACTGCCACACAAGGGCAGGGATGGGTTCATAAGGGATGCAGTTTAAAAATAATATAAATAAAATTGGTCTGTTTTCTTTAAAATGGACAAGCAAATTTTGGATAAATTGTTAGGATGTCGTCCAGTACACCAGATTCAGTGAAATAGTTACACAGTTGGTGATACAACAGGCCAGGAGGTCTAAAATCTTTTACAGTATCACATTCAACAATGTACTCTTGGCAAACGAATATGTCGACGACATACCCTTACAACACACGATTATATCGACGACATACCCTTACGACACACAAATATGTCGTGTGTCGTAAGGATATATTATGTGTCGTAATATATATTACTTATATATATATATATATATATATATATATATATATATATATATATATATATATATATATATATATATATATATATATAACTAATATATAGTTCCCTGGCGCAGTGGGCAGATGAATGAGCATTAACAGTGAATATTGTGACAGAAAAAAAAGTGATCAGTGTTTCTGATCAAAATGATTCTGTTTCTAATAAAAAAGTGATCAATATTGATTACAGTACACAGTGCAACCACATGAACGTCTTGGGGGTAGAAATAGCCTAAGCTACTCTATCCCTTTGAGATGTATTTCTTTATCTCAATAAACATACTTGAACTTGAAATGAACGTGTTGTGTTACCGAGAAAATTTAGTAGGAGCCGCAAAAAAAATTCAGATCGTTGCTTGGGAGTATATATCCAGTGCATTGGTTCGAATCCTCCCCGAATGGCTCCCACTGATTTTCTATGCAGTAATTAACGACTTCAACGACCTCGTTTGTAATGATGCTAAATAAGTTGGCACTACGCTGAGAATAATTGGCCCCGCAGGTGACGCCATTGCATTGGACTAGGCAAATACTTTTACCCCAAGTCTGTAATTTTATTTTTTTATTATGCACCCCATCCGATGAGCCATCTTGAGGTTATCTTGAGATGATTTCGGGGCTTTAGTGTCCCCGCGGCCCGGTCCTCGACCAGGCCTCCACCCCCAGGAAGCAGCCCGTGACAGCTGACTAACACCCAGGTACCTATTTTACTGCTTGGTAACAGGGGCATAGGATGATAGAAACTCTGCCCATTGTTTCTCGCCGGCGCCCGGGATCGAACCCGGGACCACAGGATCACAAGTCCAGTGTGCTGTCCGCTCGGCCGACCGGCTCCCGGCCATGATGGCCACGGTGGAAAGGGTTACAAAGACACGTAATAATCGGTTCATGAACTGTAATAATAGTGTAAGAAGGATGAGAAGGGCGATGCTGGGTCTAATAAGACAGGAATTGTCAACCTTGTCGTAAAAACGCTCAGATTCGTCCTGACATTTACTGTAACAACTTTTATACAGCTTCGATCCCCCTTAAAGCTGTATAAGGGGATGGAACAACGCCATGTCCGCCTCCTCTGATCAGCCGAAATGTACTAATGTTGTATATGAATATCACTACAATTCTGGGGCCAGATTCACGAAAGTACTAACGAACGTGTACATCTTTTCTCAATCTTTGACGGCTTTGGTTACATTTATTAAACAGTTTACAAGCGTGAAAACTTCCCAATTAACTGTTGTTATTGTTATAAACAGCCTCCTGGTGCTTCGGAGCTCATTAACTGTTTAATAATTGTAAACAAAGCCGCCAAAGATTGAGAAAAGATGTACAGGTTTGTAAGTGTTTGCGTAAGTGTTTGCGTAAGTGTTTGCGTGTTTGCGTAAGTGTTTGCGTAAGTGTTTGCGTAAGTGTTTGCGTAAGTGTTTTCGTAAGTGTTTGCGTAAGTGTTTTCGTGAATCTGGCCCCTGGAGGTCTAGTTCAGCAAGGAACAGCTCCTTCAATCTTTCTTGATAGCTCGCCCCCCTTAGCTTATGTTGGAGCTTTTTTTTTTTTTTTTTGGCATATTTGTTTTACCTTGTTTGGCTTTGTTTTTTTGTTTTTGTTTTTGTATAAGGGGTTCCATGCTGGGGCAGCATACCCAGTAATGGGTCACATAAAGGATTTATTTATACAGCACTCGGAAGGGGTCTTCGTCCAAGATGCTGAAGGATAACCGGAGGGGTCGCCAGTATGGTCATATATGCTGCCCTCGTTATCCTGCTGAAGTGTGCCTCTGGTGTTAGAACTAAAGTTACGTCCATTCCTTAAGGCTTTCTCCTTGTCAATTTTTTCAGTTTCTTTATTATGCACCCCATACCCATCCCGTGGGCGGTGAGAGCGAGGTTGGATGCTGCCTTCTCTTCACACTGTACTGCATTTGAGTACATGTACTCGTATATACATGTACATATGAGTACATATATTGTACTTCCTGCTCCAATTCCTATTCACCACACACACTGTGTGTGTGTGTGTACTGACCTCGTTGTGCTTGCGGGGGTTGAGCTCTGGCTCTTTGGTCCCGCCTCTCAACCGTCAATCAACTGATGTACTTACCTAATTGTACTCGCCTAATTGTGCTTGCGGGGGTTGAGCTCTGGCTCTTCGGTCCCGCCTCTCAACCGGCAATCGACAGGTGACGTACGTGTGTGTGTGTGTGTGTGTGTTTCTATAGAACATATAATGTTGTCGTTTCACACCAATGCCTCAGCTTAACGACCAAGTACATGTCGTACCCTGATACACAACTATGCTCTAAGTTCGTAAGTGTCCAACAGGAGTTGCCAGTGGAATCTCTCCATCCAGGAAGACACTGTAACCTTTTTCCTTCACTGCTACTGTGAGGGTGGAGGGAGGTGTTCCTTCCTGTTTAACAGTGCCCACACGTGCCACCTTCCCTCCCTCACTCCTTAACAGTGATCTCACGTTCTCTACCCTCTCATTAACTCATTACTTTCCACATTTAACCTTAATTACTACCACCATTTTTGCTACGCTTTTCTCACACATGGTTCCTCAAATTCTCCTCCTCCTCACACTGCTTATTCACACCCCTTTTCCTCTTTACTCATTCTCTTAACCCTCGGCCGAGTGGGGAGCCGGTCGGCCGAGTGGACAGCACGCTGGACTTGTGATCCTGTGGTCCTGGGTTCGATCCCAGGCGCCGGCGAGAAACAATGGGCAGAGTTTCTTTCACCCTATGCCCCTGTTACCTAGCAGTAAAATAGGTACCTGGGTGTTAGTCAGCTGTCACGAGCAGCTTCCTGGGGGTGGAGGCCTGGTCGAGGACCGGGCCGCGGGGACACTAAAGCCCTGAAATCATCTCAAGATAACCTCAAGATAACCTCCTTTCCCCCCTCCTCTGCTTACACACGACCATGTCTGTGGGTATTCATTCCCTTTTCCACCGCTTACTCACACCCTTGTCCTGCTTACTCACACCCTTGTCCTGCTTACTCACACCCTTGTCCTGCTTACTCACACCCTTGTCCTGCTTACTCACACCCTTGTCCTGCTTACTCACACCCTTGTCCTGCTTACTCACACCCTTGTCCTGCTTACTCACACCCTTGTCCTGCTTACTCACACCCTTGTCCTGCTTACTCACACCCTTGTCCTGCTTACTCACACCCTTGTCGTGCTTACTCACACCCTTGTCCTGCTTACTCACACCCTTGTCCTGCTTACTCACACCCTTGTCCTGCTTACTCACACCCTTGTCCTGCTTACTCACACCCTTGTCGTGCTTACTCACACCCTTGTCCTGCTTACTCACACCCTTGTCCTGCTTACACCCTTGTCCTGCTTACTCACACCCTTGTCCTGCTTACTCACACCCTTGTCCTGCTTACTCACACCCTTGTCTTGCTTACTCACACCCTTGTCCTGCTTACTCACACCCTTGTCCTGCTTACTCACTCCCTTGTCCTGCTTACTCATTCCCTTGTCCTGCTTACTCACACCCTTTTCCTGCTTACTCACACCCATTTCCTGCTTACTCACACCCTTTTCCTGCTTACTCACACCCTTTTCCTGCTTACTCACACCCTTGTCCTGCTTACTCACACCCTTGTCCTGCTTACTCACACCCTTGTCCTGCTTACTCACACCCTTGTCCTGCTTACTCACACCCTTGTCCTGCTTACTCACACCCTTGTCCTGCTTACTCACACCCTTGTCCTGCTTACTCACACCCTTGTCCTGCTTACTCACACCCTTGTCCTGCTTACTCACACCCTTGTCCTGCTTACTCATTCCCTTTTCCTGCTTACTCACACCCTTGTCCTGCTTACTCATTCCCTTGTCCTGCTTACTCACACTCTTTTCCTGCTTACTCACACCTTTGTCCTGTTTACTCACACCCTTTTCCTGCTTACTCACACCCTTGTCCTGCTTACTCATTCCCTTTCCCAGCTTACTCACTCCCTTTTCCTGCTTACTCATTCCCTTGTCCTGCTTACTCACACTCTTTTCCCTGCTTACTCATTCCCTTGTCCTGCTTACTCACACCTTTGTCCTGCTTACTCACACCTTTGTCCTGCTTACTCACAACATTCTCTGTGCTTAGGCATAACCCCTACTAATAAGTTGTGCTGTGAGTTGTGCTTACTCATACCACCACTTTCTGTGCTTACTCATACCCCCCCACACTCTGTGCTTACTCATACCCCCCCCCCCACACTGTGCTTACTCATACCCCCCCACACTCTGTGCTTACTCATACCCCCCTCACACTCTGTGCTTACTCACACATTTCCTCTTGCAAATCCTATTCCCCCCCCCCCTTTTGTTCCTTTTAACCATTCTCTTACATCAATCAGTTTTTCATTTTCACTTACCGTCTCTGTTCTTTCTGTCCTCTTTCCATCCCATTTACCATTCCGTCCCCCATTCCTCCCTTGCCTATAATTCCCTTTTCTTTCCCGTTTGCCTCTTCCGCTCCACGTTTCCATCCATCCCTTTTCCTTCCTTCCTTCCCCTCTCCCCTGTTCCATACAAGCTCGACCCCATCCCTGGCATTCCTTCCCTGTAAATTATCTCTCCGAGCCAATTGAGTAACGTCTTGGCCCATTTTTGTATCGTTCCCATGCAGCGCATCACAATGTACCACCTGCCCATGCAGCACATCCCTCTGTTGCACCTCCCTATGCAGCACTTACCCATGCAGCACCTCCCCATGCAGCACCTCCCCATGCAGCACCTCCCTATGCAGCACCTCCCCATGTAGCACCTCCCCATGTAGCACCTCCCCATGCAGCACCTCCCTATGCAGCACTAACCCATGCTGCACCCTCCATCCCCAGTGGGCCGTCTGGCTCTACACATGTTGGCGACGCTGCAAAAGGGACGGACTGACCCCCAGGCCCTGGATGTGGTCACGCCCTCTTACCTGCTGCTGCTGTTGTTGCTGCTGCTGTTGTTGCTGCTGCTGCTGATGTTGCTACTGGTGATGTTGGTGCTGCTGGTGATGCTGCTATTGGTCATGATGTTGCTGTTGATGCTGGTACTGCTGTTGGTGCTGTTTTTGCTTTTCCTGTTGTTGCTTGCTGCAAAAAAAATTGTCCAACGACAAACCGCGAGGTATATGCGTCTCAGAGCTGAAGGGCTTGAGCTACGAGGAAATACTGTCACCCGCACCTTGGCAATCTTGTGTGTGTATATATATATATATATATATATATATATAATGTCGTACCTAGTAGCCAGAACGCACTTCTCAGCCTACTATGCAAGGCCCGATTTGCCTAATAAGCCAAGTTTTCCTGAATTGTTTATCGACTACCTAATCTAACCTAACTTTTTCGGCTGCCTAACCTAACTTATAAAGATAGGTTAGGTTAGGTAGGGTTGGTTAGGTTCGGTCATATATCTACGTTAATTTTAACCAAAATAAAAAAAAAATTGACCTCATACATAATGAAATGGGTAGCTTTATCATTTCATAAGAAAAAAAATTGAGAAAATATATTAATTCAGGAAAACTTGGCTTATTAGGCAAATCGGGCCTTGCATAGTAGGCTGAGAAGTGCGTTCTGGCTATTATATATATATATATATATATATATATATATATATATATATATATATATATATATATATATACACATATACACACACACATTCACATAGACAATCACATTCACAAACAGTTAAACATGAAGAAATACAGACCCCCTCTAGCTCACATCTCTCCTTCCCTCCCTCTCACCTTAACTACCTCTCGCCTTCCTTCCCTCCCTCACTACTAAAGAGGCTCCGTCCCTAGAGGTCATAGGGTCATGAACACACACACACACACACACACACACACACACACACACACACACACACACACACACACACAGGGACGAGGAGGAGGACAGATTTATAGACAAATTAATAGGTAAATTTGTAGAGAGAAGGAGCGATTGGATGGAGGATCTAATCCAAGGGTTAAAAAGCGAGTTACTTCAGCAAATACATGATGCAGTAGAGAGGCAGAAACAGGAGCTTATGCTCTATATTCAGGAAGAGATTAGGAAGGGAAGAGAGGACTGGAAGAGCGAATGTGCTTCTGATCTCAAACGAATTAGGAAGGATTAACAGCATGGCTAAGGACAGAAGATTAGTGGGGGATGGATTAGTGAGTGTGGTTGGGATGGGGAATCCCCAAGGGATGGGCTACCAGCATGCCAATGAATTACTGAGGAGAAGGACCATTATAATACATGGGTTATTTGAATCTGGGGCACCAACCAGACAAGAGAGAATAGAGACGGAAAAATATGAATTGCATGAGATATTGAGATGTATTGGAGCAGGAATGGCAGAACACGAGGTTGATATCAGCCGCCGGGTTGGACCTTACAATTGTACCAAGAATAGACCTGTTCTGGTGCAATTCTCCAATGAGGAGGCTGTAGAGTACATAATGAGGAACAAGCATTTACTCAGAGGAAGTGAAACCCATTACAATGCGTTTATTGAAAAGTTTATGACGAAAGATGAGCAAATAGCCTACAAGAATAAATGGCAAGCACGACACCGTACCCCTAGCCTCTCAGGTAGCCTGACCTCCCAGGTCACATCCTCCCCAACTCAGCCCTCCTATACCTTCCCCCTGCCTTATCCCCCCAAAACCCCCCTGCCACTTCCACAATTGCACTTCCCCAACAACTCCCCTGCCACATCACACCTATCAACGACCCCAGTGGGTCATGCCATGCCCTACCCAAACCCACCTTCCCATCCCCCCTCCCCCTACTACCCCCTCCTACTCCCCTGCCCCTTCTACCCCAATGCCTTCACTTCCATCTGCTCCATCCCAGTTTCCACTGCATACCCACCACCGGGCTGTGGTGGGTATGTGGGCCTGCGGTTTGCTCCAAGCAACAGCCTAGTGGACCAAACTCTCACAAGTCAAGCCTGGCCTCGAGCCGGGCTTGGGGAGTAGAAGAACTCCCAGAACCCCATCAACCAGGTAACCAGGTACCCCTCTTCCACTCACCCCCAAACCCCACCCAACTCTCACCCCCCTCCTATGCACCTCCAGCCCACATTCAACCCCCCCTCACCTGTGACCCCCTAACACCTTCCCCCATCTCCCTCTTCCAACCCAAAACCTCCACCTACCTCCGATACCCCCCTAACTAATACACCCTCTCTTCCACCCCCAGCACCCATGCTCCATTCTCCTCTCAGCCCTCTGAATTCAATATCCCTCTTCCCCCAACTTCTCAACCTCTATCTGACTCTCAGTCTCACTCTATTTCTCAACCCCCCTATGCCATTCAGACTCTCCCTAACTTTCAGATCCATTATGCCCTTCCTACCCCCCGTAGATGCCCAGACCCCATTCGCCTACCAGGCACTCCCAGGCACCCCCACAGCACCCTCCCAGACACCCCCCAGTACCCCCCAGACCCCCGGCGAAAGGGGGAACTCAGACACCCGAGTTTCCAAGAATCGTCTCAAGGTTTGGTACACAAATGCTGGTGAGGTATCCAATAAAGCAGAAGAGATAAAAGAAAGAGTTAGTGAGACAGACCCAGACATAGTGGCAATAGTGGAAACTAAAATAAATGGCATGATCTTGGATGCAATCTTTCCAGAGGGGTACCAGGTGATAAAAAAAGAAAGGACACAGAGACAGGGAGGGGGAGTGGCACTCCTAATAAAGCGGAAATGGAAGTTTGATGAGCTGGAAAATCCGGGTACCAATGAAAGCACGAACTCCATACATGGAACTCTGACAGTGGATGGGAAGAAGATTGTAATCTTGTTACTCTACAATCCCCCACCAAACAGTAGAAGGCCCAGGCAGGAGTACGAGGACAGCAACAAGACATGTATAGATGAACTGCAGAGGGCAGCAACTATAGCACATAGAATAAGAGCAAAGCTGCTGGTCATGGGGGACCTAAATCATGAAGAGATAGATTGGGAAACGAGGAATCCCCATGGCGGGGAGGAGACCTGGGGAGCGAAGCTGGTAGACGTTATTGACAGGAATTTCCTAACACAGCATGTGAAACAAGACACTAGGGAAAGAGGAGGGGATACGCCCAGCCTATTAGACCTCGTTTTCACCCAGAATGTAGAAGACATCGAGCATTTAGAACATGAAATACCACTAGGAGCCAGTGACCATTGTGTCCTAGTCTTTGACTACATGATGGAGCTTAAAATTGTGACTAAAGGACAAGAGGTCCGAGTAAGGAGACTTGATTACAGAAGAGGGGACTACAGAAGGATAAGGGATTACCTGGGAGAAGTGCAGTGGGAGGAAGAAATTAGAGGAAAAACAGTGCAAGATATGATGAACCAAGTCATATGGAAATGCAAGGAGGCTGAAGAGAGATTTATTCCAACAGTAAAGGAAAAAAGCAGGAGGGAATATAATAACCCATGGTTTAATAGACAGTGTCAGGAAGCAAAAGTGAGAAGCAGGAGGGAGTGGAGGAAGTACAGAAGACAAAGGACAGAGGACAACAGGATTAGATGTAACAGAGCTAGGAATGATTACATTAACAAAAGACGAGTGTCGGAAAGAAATTATGAGAATGATATTGCAATCAAAGCGAAAAAGCAACCTAAATTACTACATAGCCATATAAGAAGGAAGATGTCGGTAAATGACCAAGTGAAAAGACTGAGGAAAACAGAAGGGGCATATACAGAAAGCGACAAGGAAATCTGGGAGGTACTGAATGCAAGTTTCCATGGAGTGTTCACAACCGAGCCTGAGTGGCTCCCATTGTTAGAAGAGATTACCCTAAATGAAAGACTATCAGATATAGAGGTGACAGCAGAGGAGGTAATGAAACAGTTGACAACACTGGATGCAACTAAAGCGGTTGGACCAGAATAAGTATCACCGTGGATACTAAAAGAGGCAGCGCAGGCTCTCGGCGTGCCTCTGG